GAATTATTTTCCTTTTAACTAGTTTTATAAAAAAAAAAAAAAAAAAAAGCCAATGAGTTAATTTTTTTTCATAATACAAATTCAATTTTCCTAATTCATAGTTGTTAAGATTGCTAATTAAGAAGCCAATTATAGTTAAAATTTGAAAATATTTAATTACCTTCACCTAATTTCCTGTGAAACTGATCTAAACAGTACTATACAAGAGTTACCTCCCTTGTTTAAGTTTAGTTAGGAATATTAAGTTAAATCCAATAAGGAATAGTGCTAATTAATTATCCAAAGAAAGCACTCAAATTTGAATTCAAAGATAGCCAGATAGACCTACAGGGTGATTACTACCGGTATAGGGCTCCTGCATTGTCCTGTCCTCATGTGACCCTGGCTGTTACGAGGATGTTAAACCACAAACAAACAAAACCTGCATTGTCTGAATATGTCCAAATTACAATATTTTATTTTTAAATAAATTAATAATTTTGACATCATTATTCATGTATATAATTTTCATTTTTTTTTAAAAATTGTAATCAGAAAGAATTAACAGTATTTAAAGTAAGTTTTATACGACTGAAATAATCTCACTTTAAATCAATTTGATGTGATTTTAACAGATATGGAATGAAAATTATAAAGTTTTGATTTTACACATGCTAACATCCCAATTTCCACTTTTACAATTACAATGAACTTGGACAATTTCCACTTATATATTATCTATATGAGAAAATATCAAAAAGGCATAATAGATCGGTCTTAAGTGTTTGAAATATTTGTTCTGATGTTGATTACAAAAATACAGCGTAAAGGTGTACATGATAATTGTTTTACCTTGCCTGTGCTGACTTAAAAACAAGTCTGACATAACCTTGTAATATACAATCACGAAACACATAAATCAACCCTACCCCTTTACCTCAATACCAACAACACACACAATTAGAAGAACACTCTTTCTTCCCGGATTACTACAGTGAAATATGTTACTACAGAATTTACATATTCCGGTCAATGATTCTTCATGCTGTTAATTCTATTCTAATATGTTTTAGTCAAGCTGTTCGCACATTTTCACACATTTTTTCTGCATTTCAATACACCTGGTTTTGATATTTTGATAACCATCGGTTTTCAAGTTATTGCGATATTTTTGTAAGACAAGGTGAGAACATGCCTCGGATACAACAGGGAGATGTATTCCTGTCGGAGAAATCTTAGCAGGATAATAGGGTAGGACCAATCAATAGGTACTTTACAACTTCATAACCTGGCAATTCTTACAGAAATGGATTTTACTGATAACAAACATATGCATCTAGACTTGAACCCATACTGTAGTCGATGGTCATTTTGAAAAGATTATCATGAAATAATGATTAGTACTGCACTAATTATATAATTGTTTAAAATCTTTTCATAGGATTTTTTTGTAGCTTGCTTGTTAGCTCTTATGCATTAATCAAGACATTCATCTCAAATTGCTATTTTTACTTTATAATAAAATAATTGCCTTTGCAAACTTACCGGGAGCTGTACATTTTTTACAGACATGATATTAATAATTACACATCAGTAACTTTAAGTAGTGTGAAGAAATAAAAAAACCTGATAATAACATTACAGTAAAAGAAGTTGTGATTTTTTTATTTTTTTTTATGTATTAATTTGTTGTTTTAGATACTGTTATACATTTTTAGAACCTTATTTTCCCTTGAATCCTTTGAAGGGTTGATTCCATACAATTTCAATAATGCACAGGAAATTTCATTTACTCTTCTTCATTTTTTACTGTAAAACTTGAAACTTGAAAATAAAATTTAGGACCTAATATTCATGGATTTAAAAGCATTTTAAGATTCATCAACGGTACACTTCTGTAGAAATAAATTATTTACTGTCTTTTATTACCAGAGAAAATATATTCATGAAAACACAAAAAAAAATACCATAGGGTTGAGAGTCTACAGCATAAATTGGTCTGAATAAGGTTGATTTTTACGACCTCCCGAAGACTAGACTTCGAGCAAGAACATTTTATTAACATTTTTAGTGTTGATAACATATAATTAACGAATGATGTGTGGTGACGAAGAAAAAAGATTTTACATAACCTTTTTTTCTTTTTATACTATAATCATTGAATCATATACAACATCATATGAAATAACTTAACAGACAACTTGGTCTATGAAGTAAATGATTTCCGTAGACCTAGTGATTTTCATTGTGATCGTGTATGGATCTGCTGTTAAATAGAATACAACATTACACTTTTTACAAAGAAGGTACAAATCAATACGTGGTTACAAATGTATTAACACTTCACTTACAAATCTGTGACTTGTAATAATTAAAGTTTGTAATCAACCACTTTAGGAAACGTTATCCACAACCCACTTATCGTCATATTCGTTGACAAGTGAAATATTACAGATTGAATGAACACTTAACCATATGTACAATTACATTAAAACAGGGGATTTATCATCCGAACTGATGTCATTTATTTTCTAATTACCTTTATCAACAAAGTTATATCACAAAACACAAGTCGACTCCTTCAAAAATTCAAATCTCACCGCAACATGTTTCCAATATTTGTTGTAATCGCGACTATAATTTGTTATTTGAATAATCTTGACACCAACATCTTGTCAGGACCTCGTAACATCTTGTCAGTTCCTCATTAAAGCATTTCTCTCAAATCTCTTCTAATGATTGCAATATGAAAATCTGACATTTTTATCTGAACTTAATTTCACGAGATCTACATTTATTAATTGATTCTAATTTTAACCTTCGATGTCGGAGTGCTGATCAGAGGATTTCATTACTATTTATCTCGAGATCAGAACATATGCAACACGGATGTCAATTTCACAATGAGATGGCACCGGGCACCGAACACTGTAAATACATATCACCCACCAGCTGTCTTATCTCCTTGTCAAATCCAAAAACACATCTTATCCCAGACTTAAAAAACCCCAATTTTATCATAATCTTGAATTGGACCTTTATCGTACATGAATCTAATTTGAAATAAAAAATTGATATGAAACTGTGACTTTATAATACTATCTGGGGAAATCACAATATGTCACAAATGTACGAACATTCTATTCAAAATTTAACAAATAAATATGCAGGTACATTAAACTTGTACTCTGAGCTAGAACTTTTTACCTTTATAACATACAGTACATTCCAATTTATATCAGTTGTCATTTGTGTGATACTAAGAAAATCAGGATATAAACTGCAATTGTGTTTGTTTGTCATTTTGTAATTATAAAAATACATACCTAAAAGAAAATAATTTTTGATTTTTTTTTTACTGCAGTTTTCACAAAAAAGTAAAATTGTTAATTTCTTTTTTTTAAAGTACAATTTAGAACATAATTTATCTTAATTTATTTTATTATTATCTTCACATACTTTAAGTTCTTAAATAAAGAAAGTAAATCAATCTTTTGTATTTAGAAATATTTGTTCTTCCCCGAGTATTTGCACGAATTATAAAAGTTTCTCCTTCAATATATATGCTATTGAATCTAGACAATAAGATTTTTTTTCTCACCTCACTCAATATTCATTCAGATAGGGGGAGTTATATGAAAAGTTTTAATTCCTGTTGTTATGTATTAAAAACAGATTAATAGCATATAAATAGTATGATATTTAATAGGCAATCTCAATACATCTTGACATGCTAAAAGTCCCCCCCCCCCTCCCAAGAGCTATAAACTAACCAGAAGCACATGGTTCTGTGTGTGGCATAGGAAAGGTTTACTCTCAAATCAAGAGTTTCAGGTTTTACCCAACATAAACATAGCACAGGTTTACTCTCAAATCAAGAGTTTCAGGTTTTACCTTATCCCAACATAAACTGTTTACTCTCCTCAAATATAGAGTTTAAGGTTTTACCTCGCCCCAACATAAACGTAGTACAGGTTTACTCTCAGATCAAGAGTTTTAGGTTTACTCACTGATCAAGAGTTTTTAGGTTTTACCTCGCCCCAACATGGGACATAGCACAAGTTTACTCTCAGATCAAGAGTTTTCAGGTTTTACCTCGCCAACATAGGTCATAGCACAAGTTTACTCTCTGATCAAGAGTTTTTAGGTTTTACCTCACTCCAACATAGGTCATAGCACAAGTTTACTCTCTGATCAAGAGTATTTATGTTTTACCTTGCCCCAACATGGGACATAGCACAAGTTTACTCTCAGATCAAGAGTTTTCAGGTTTTACCTCGCCAACATAGGTCATAGCACAAGTTTACTCTCTGATCAATAGTTTTCAGGTTTTACCTCACTCCAACATAGGTCATAGCACAAGTTTACTCTCAGATCAAGAGTTTTCAGGTTTTACCTTGCTCCAATATAGGATATAGCACAGGATTACTCTCAGATCAAGAGTTTTCAGGTTTTACCTCGCTCCAACATAGGACATAGCACAAGTTTACTCTCAGATCAAGAGTTTTCAGGTATTACCTGCCAAACATGTACAGTCAATTTATACATCCACTAGCTTTTACTTTTTCTGTTTATTTATAACATGGAAGGTAATACAGTTGTTCAACTAACTACGACTACAATGTACTTATTAAATTTGAAAGGTCAAACTACATATGAAACTCTATTTTTACGCCTGATGTTCTACTATTTATCTTGAGAATTTTCTGATACTAGAAGAGTTTATGGAAAATTCAGACTGTCTATAATACTGAAAATACTGGTATACTGAAATGTTTTTCTATATTTTTATATTGAAAAATTAGCCGCAAATTAGTGTGAACGATGAGTTAAGAAATAGTCAAATATTTAAAAAAAAAAAAAAAAAAAAAAGACTTGGCTTGGCAACTGTTGTGGGTGGTGATATGCACTGAGTTAAAGCAATTTCATTCTTGTAGCAAAAATGCATAATAAAAAAAGTAGAAAAAAACCCCACTGTATACTTAAAAAAAGAAAAGAAAAATAAATTGTAGGAGACTTACTCTGACAGTGGTGGCATTGGTCCCATGTTTTCCAATGTTGTCCTGTCCTGTAAATAAACAAATAAATTATTTAATCATGATTTTGACATTAAGGCTGGGATAAAATGATCCGTTAATACAGGACCACTAAATCATGATATATATATATCATAATACATGCTTCACAATAAACTAGCTTATAAAACATAATTCCTCATAAATCACTCACCCAGTAAACAATCATATATTGATGATCAGGAACATTTCTAAAATATTTATTTAGAAATAATTCATCGACAGGAAATATTGTTTTTCTTTTTATTGTTACTTAGAATTCAAAGTATAGGTAACATTTTCTTGAGATAACTTTTACGCAACTAACAACTTTTTTCAGCAAATTATTTAGGACGCTATATAAGTGTTGTATATTATTATTATTATAAAGGCAAAGTAGTACAAGCAATCCATAGCCCCTTCCTCCAAACTAATTTTGAACCATAAGTCCCCTACCTCCAAACAAACTTTGGAATAAAAACTAACAAATTGCAATAACTCTGTATATGTGTAAAGGGGGGAAATGAGACCCAATTTCAATATGTGCCACTCTACAATTACACCAGGTACTTATATACAGACCTTTGCAATTGCAGGTGACAGAATATACAAATATGTCCGTAAAAAAAGGGCCATAACTCAGTTTAAAAGCTGGTTTATTAAGTGACATGATTCTGCTATCCCAAGAGGTAATGGAAACAAAATTATGCAATAACATGCAACATTATACATGGAACATGCCCTTGATAATGTGAAGGAAGGGCCATTACTCTGTATATAATCAGAAACATAATGAATTTTGTTCATCTTAACTATGACCTGATGTAGGGCCCATCTCCTCTCTTATCAATGTACTGTGACAACCTTTGGTTACCCCCTCCCCCAAACCCAATTTAGGGTACAGAAAAAATCAGTGTGGCTTACACATGACTGAAGTAATTCTACAAGTAATATACAATTTACCGGTAGTTACATCTTTTCTATACAAAATCTAGTTAAATAATCTCTTCTATCCAAAATTTAGTAACACCACTTTTCCACACTCTTTAGTTACATCTCCTCTACTCACACTTTAGTTACATCTCTATTTTCACTGTAGTTACATCTCTATACAAACTTTAGTTACATCTCTATACAAACTTTAGTTACATATCTATACAAACTTTAGTTACTTTTCCTATATACAAACTTTAGTTACATCTCTATGCTCACTGTAGTCACATATTTATACAAACTTTAGTTACATATCCTCTTTACAAACTTAAGTTACAGCTCACACTTTAGTTACATTTACTCTATGTATACACACTTTGGTTAATTTTCGTCTATACAAACTTTAGTTACATATCTATACATTTTACTTTAGTTACTTTTCCTCTATACAAGCTTTAGTTACATCTCCTCTTTACAAACTTTTAGTAACATCTCACACTTTAGTTACATTTACTCTATGTGTACACACTTTAGTTAATTTTCCTCTATACAAACTTTAGTAACATATCTATACACACTTTAGTTACTTTTCCTCTTTACAAACTTTAGGTACATATCTATGCTTACTGTAGTCACATATTTATACAAACTTTAGTTACATATCCTCTTTACAAACTTAAGTTACAGCTCACACTTTAGTTACATTTACTCTATGTATACACACTTTGGTTAATTTTCCTCTATACAAACTTTAGTTACATATCTATACAAACTTTAGTTACTTTTCCTATATACAAACTTTAGTTACATCTCTATGCTCACTGTAGTCACATATTTATACAAACTTTAGTTACATCTCCTCTTTACAAACTTTTAGTAACATCTCACACTTTAGTTACATTTACTCTATGTGTACACACTTTAGTTAATTTTCCTCTATACAAACTTTAGTAACATATCTATACACACTTTAGTTACTCTTCCTCTTTACAAACTTTAGGTACATATCTATGCTTACTGTTGTCACATATTTATACAAACTTTAGTTACATCTCCTCTTTACAAACTTAAGTTACAGCTCACACTTTAGTTACATTTACTCTATGTATACACACTTTGGTTAATTTTCCTCTATACAAACTTTAGTTACATCTCCTCTTTACCAACTTAAGTAACATCTCACACTTTAGTTACATTTACTCTATGTATACACACTTTAGTTAATTTTCCTCTATACAAACTTTAGTTACATATCTATACAAACGTTAGTTACTTTTCCTATATACAAACTTTAGTTACATCTCTATGCTCACTGTAGTCACATATTTATACAAACTTTAGTTACATATCCTCTTTACAAACTTAAGTTACAGCTCACACTTTAGTTACATTTACTCTATGTATACACACTTTAGTTACTTTTCCTCTTTACAAACTTTAGTTACATATCTATACAAATTTTAGTTACTTTTCCTCTATACAAACTTTAGTTACATCTCTATGCTTACTGTAGTCACACATTTATACAAACTTTAGTTACATCTCTATACTCACTGTAGTCACATATTTAAACAAACTTTAGTTACATCTCCTCTTTACAAACTTAAGTAACATCTCACACTTTAGTTACATTTACTCTATGTATACACACTTTGGTTAATTTTCCTCTATACAAACTTTAGTTACATCTCCTCTTTACAAACTTAAGAAACATCTCACACTTTAGTTATATTTACTCTATGTATACACACTTTAGTTATTTTTCCTCTTTACAAACTTTAGTTACATCACCTCTTTACGAACTTTAGTTACACAGCATTGTCATTTAAATATAAATGGGCTACAGATCACACTTGAAAACTTCAAATCATAATTCGGTGGTTCCTACTCAATTTAGAAATACTTTAGTCAGACTGCATTAAAGTATTTTAAAGACTGTTGGCAACTGACCCTTGGTACTTGTGTGTTATAACCTACATACTCACAGCAGTTTACACACACATTTAATGTGCATGGAGGATACAGGGAAATAAAACACTGATTAGGAATGAGTAATACAACCTTCCAGTTTTTGTCAGCATTCCAACAATGGTACGCTTGACTGAACTCACTAGTGACAATGCAATGTAATTGAATTTCGTAGAGAACACAACAAGCGTGAAGGATCCGCCTTCTTGAGGCAAATTGTCAGAAACGTGACGGAAAGATTCAAGAATATCTAGCAGAAGAAAAATTGAGACTAAATATTAACTCAATCACCTACTAGAGATGCCCAGACTTTCAGAGTCAGTGGCTGTAATTTCGATGGCTATGTAGGCAAACTCGTAAAACTAATCACTTCCTCCTACAAGCCTATGTTTCCTGCAATAAAATAGAAAGCTATCAAATAGATAGACAGTATAAAATGTCCACTTTAAATTGTTGTTAAATTCTAAAAAAAAAAAAAAAAAAAGGGGGGTCTGATGCAGTGCAGAATATATCACAGGGAATTATGGGAAAACAATAAGCTATTTAACAGTGTTGTTGATTTTTATATGTAAAAGTACAAACTAACGTACCATGATGATATTTAAAATAATATCCTTACTAAAGTAAATTGATTGTTATATGAAATACTACTCCCATATGTAGACATGTAACCGATGATATTGTCAGCGTACTTGGGTGATCTACTTTAGACTGATTTGTCAGCAGACAGAACACATTGCGATAATCATATTTCTTACATGTACTTACATGTTTAGTATTTAGTTCTAAGTCAGCATATTTATTTTTTAACTCTAAGTCAGCAAAAAACCAACCCAGATTTAATTAAGATATTTAAAAGTAATAATATAAACTTGTTTTTTCTTGTATCACTAAAAGGAATTCTACAGTAAATTACAACAATTATTATTCAATGATGGCAAATTCAAACTTACTTTTTTTTTAATAGAGTAACAAATGTTCACAATGTTTAACTATATGTTTCCAAGAATATTATTCCTAAATAAGAAACCAAATTTGAAAATGATAGACCATAATATGAAACACAATATACAAGCCTTATTTGATTTCAAAGGACTTACTAAAAAACATTTTTTTATAACATCAAAAATTGTTCGATAAAAGTGAAAACAGCCTACATCAGGAGTCCGGAGAAGAAATTTCGGCATGGCCATTTTTCAACAACGTAAACAGACAAGCTCCTTAGAAACCTTATAAGCCAATGTAATATTAACTGTACAGACAATTCATGGAATTCAAGTAGCAAGGGAGGTAACTTGTGTTTCACGACACTGCAAGGAGTGAAGTTTGTGTACAGGTGAAGGGAGCGAACTCAAAATTCCACTGGAGACTTATCACCAATCAAACATGCTGCTGTTTGCAATAAAATATCTGCATTGAACAGGCAGGTTGCTGAATAAATTTGATCTTGATTGAGTGCTTCTGAAATGGTAAGATCAAATGTAACATTTATACCCTAACAAACTGATTTTTTTAAATTTGTAAATGAACTGATGTTGGTTTTTTTCATACCGGGTATGCAGATATGTTTTTTAGATTAATTTCTCTGTAGTAGTAGAATTAGATGAGCATTTTTTCTAGCTCAATAAATGAACATGATAGTCATCTTCAGGTAGCAGTATACAGTAGAGGGTTGTGGCCATAGGTGATATTTTTGTTAAATGGCTAACCCCTGTATAATGATATGTAAAAAAAATATAAAAATAAAACTGTACTAAAATTGGTATAAGCATGATGAAGTGGGCTATGTGAGCTTCACATTTGTAAAAAAAAAAAGATTTTTTTGGTTCGAGGATTTTTTTTAGCCATAATCCGAAAGGGTGCCTACACATGAAAAGCTAGCTTTACAGGAGGTAAAATTTTGACAACAGCACACGACGCAAAATTGCAAAAAAAAAAGTTTTACAACTTTACTGGGACCCAGATAATTCTGCAACCAGGTAGGTAATCTTTAATTTCAGACAGAACTTAGGAAAAAAATTACTAGTTGCGGGGGTCAAATTTTGGGTCAAAAATAGCAATTTTTGGCATTTTTTGGTAATTTTTGATGTGGTAACCATGGTTTTCACACAAG